GAGCCCCCCCCCCTTTTTTTTTTTTTGGAGACGTCTGACTGACGCGACCCCAGCCCTGCTGAAGGCCGCTACCACTCAGGGCCGGCCCGGCGGGGAGCCAGGCTGCGCGGCTCCCTCCACTTCTGCCCGCTCCCAGGGCTTGGGCGGGCGCGGCAGGCGGGAGGCAGTGGGGGTTTCCCGCGTGGCGGCCACACGGAGCCGCTGCAGGCCGGGAACGTCGCGCCCCGCGCGCACCAGGCGCAGCAGCTCCGAGAACGGCAGCGCCGCGGGGCCCGGGTCCGCGCACTTTCGGGCTCCCGATTCCATGGCCGCCCTTGGCCCTCCTCGAGTACGCATGCGCAACAGTCATGCAGCCTGTGCAGAGACAGCGGGAGGTACCACTGCACAGGAGATACCACCACGCTGGGCATAAGGGGAGGGAGAGAGGGTGGGAATACCACTACACTGAGACAGGAGCGGAGAAGTGAGGGGAGATAACGTTGCACTGGGCATGGAGGGGAGGGAGGCTGAAGATACTACTGCATCGAGCATAGGGGGCGGCGATACCATTGCAACAGTCAGGCGTGGGCGCTACCACTTCCGCCAGGCGGGGGCGGGATGGAGGGAGTGGGAGATACCACTGCAGGCAGCCGCGGGAGGGTTACCCTGGGGGTGTGGCAGCAGCACTGGGGGGCGCAGCTGGGGCTGCAGGTGCGCGCGGCCGTTACTGGGCGGAGGGGGCCAGTCCCCGCCCCCACCTCCCCCTCCACTTCCCCAGCCCGGCCGGGGTCACCATGCGGCTGCTCGGGCACCTCCTGGCCGCCGCCGCGCTGCAGCTCGTGGCCGGTGAGTGCGGGCGGGGGCAGTGTGGGAGCTCTGCCCGCCGGCGGAGCCAAGCGCACGGACGCACTGAGCAGCCGTGCCGGGGGGTGGGGCCGGGGACGCGGTGCTTCTCTAGGGCGAGGGCTCCCTCAGGTGCGGCTGGGGTCTTGTTCCGTCTGCTGCAGCACCAGCGTTGCCAGGTCTTAAGTATGAACTGATCGAAGTTACTGTATTTGCTGAAAAACGTTCGTGCACTGGAAAATATGCAAATAAGTCTGTCTGCAAAGAGGGCGTCTCATTTACTTCATGCTGCTCGCTGCAACTTGCCAGTGAGCGCGTGGGGATGGGGTTATCCAATTGGACAGGTTTCTCTATTTCAAGGCAAGCTTCATAAGAAAGTGCTGATAATAGCTTGAAAGTCAGTTGAAGCTCTCTGAGAGTGACTTGGGTTTTGCCTATGCTGCCTCAGTTACTTGCCTCAAAAGTTAACTTACATTTTGCATACTTCTATTATTATTGATCACACTCTGTACAAAGGTTAAAATTACTGTACAAATATGCAGGCAGGGTTCTTTGGGTAGATGTGATATCTTTTATTAGACCAACTAAATAGTTGGGGGGAAAAAAGTTCTTGGCAAGCTTTTGGGCCCCTATCAGGCACAGGGAGACTGCTGGTGCTATTTGTTCTCCAAGGTAGAAAAGAAGCTAATTTACAACCAGCAAGCCTGGGCAAATGCAAGTGGAAGTTAGGAAGACAATAGGTAGAGATGGGAGTGTGAAGGAATGCAAGTGGTCAGCTGGAGGGTGGTTAACTGGGGTATTGGATGTCAGGCAGGTTGTCATCCACAAATATGATCATTATACACCTGGCAACACTGAACCGTGCTGCCTAAGAGCGGTCATGGTGCGGGCAGCGTTGGGCAGCCCAGGGGTGATGTCTTGCCACAAGGCTGCCTGTCCCACCAGCTCCTATCAGAGCCGTGCTCATTCATTGTCACAGAGGGATCACCATGCCCAACCTAGACCACAGAGGGGCACTGCAAGCAGGCGATGGCATCTCTGACACCAGGGGAGCTGCAAGTTTCCTCAATGTTGGAATCAATTGATATAACTCATGACTGGTTCTTGTGTTATGGGATCATGCTGCACACCAAAGATTTTGGGTAAAATCTTCCTTTCAAAACCATCTAGTAGTGTCTTATTTGTTTATGGGACCACCCACCTTTGGCTGCCATAGGTTATGCAGGGCCCAGGCCCTGCTCAGGCATTAGTGGATATCCAGCGGAGGCACCAGCTGGGTAAGAGTTAGGAATCCTTCTTAAGAGTTGTGGAGTGACTTCCAGCCTTATCACTCCTGTTCAATCAGGCTCTGAGCATAGAGGCTTTGTGACAGGGACATGCCTTGTGTACTGCTCACTGGCTGCTTGTTCTCCCAGAGGGCAACAGTGCAAGCCCTTCCCCCACATTGGCACCCCCCCTCACCATGGTGGTGAATGGCGAGAGGAAGACGCTGGTGATGTGCATGGTGGACGATCTCCCTGAGGGCACAGCAGATGCCATCTGGTTTTCAAATGAGAATGGGAGTGCCTTGGACTCCTTCACGTATGGGTTTTCTCAGGCAGAGGACGGCACCTTCAGCACAGTCTCTCACCTCTCCGTCCTCACCACAGAGCTGGAGTCATGGGCTTCGCTTGCCTGCCACGTGCAGCTGAACAAAACCATGCAAGTGTGGAGTGCCATCCTGCTGCCAATCTCTGGTATGTATCACAACAAAGAACAGACATCACCAGAGCCACCTGCCTTGTCTTTCACCTTCAGTGCCCACATCTCTGTGACCTCACCCCTCCCTCCAATCCTATGCAAATCCTGAGTACCTACACTCAAGTGTTGTCCCTTTGATTGTGACTCCTTCCTCTCCTCAGGTACATCTTCTGGCTGGTGATATCCCTGAACAAATTGGGCCAGAAGGCAAGGATCTAACAGCAGCTGGGGTTGCACTGCATGCTATATTAAAATGCAATCAAAGTCTAGATGCCCTGACAGTTAATTCAGTAGAGGGATTCCACCCTTTGCCGGATGCTGGTCCCCAGAAGGAGTTTGAGTAATGGCAAATATGGTACAGAAGTATTAAGTCACTTGGCTTGGAGGGGATTATGGTATCTGTGCAACAGTAGGGCTGAGATGTGGAGAATGGTGTTGCATCTGGAAAGCATAGGGACTTAAAACTGTTGCATTTAATAGAGCTCTCTCCAGGGTAATTCTCCATAGTCATTTGAAGCTAGTTTTCCATGATGAGCCTAATTTGACATCCATACATCTCTTCCCTCTCAAAACAAAGGAAAATGTGATTGCATTGTAAGAGGATTTTTTTCCTTAAACATTTTGCTATCAAGTATTTTACTACAGCTTAATATTTGTTTTGTTTGGGACTAGTACAGTAGGTATGTAGCTGTAACTGGTCACTTTTATATAGAGGAATGAAATCAGACCCCTAGGCTGAGATGGACTGTGGAATCTTTTTGTTCAGAGATGTTTCTATATAGCATGTTTCTAACTAAGGTAAAGGGGGAGTGCACAGAAGCAGTGTTATGACATCCTGTTAAAAATCAGGAAGCCTTTAATTAAATGACCTGCTTCTAGCCACACCACTAACTGAGACATTGTGCCCACTCTGTAAGTTTCTTTGTATGTTTTGGCACAAAAGGGAGGTTTTCAAAGACACTAAGAGGAGTTAGAAGCCTGATGGATGGCTTAAGAGAAGTGTTGTCAGCCTATGGCCCCGGGGCCAAATCTAGCCAGCAAATGCACTGGGTCTGACCTGGCCTGGGGTGGCATGGGCGTTCAGCCAGCACTCGGATGTCAACACATGGCTTTTAAAAGCTCTGTCCCTTTTGGAGCTTGTGAAATTGATTTAGAGGTTCTTGGCATGTGTGAGCTGTTAAAGAGATTTCAATTAATTACTTAAAAGAATTTAGTAACTGTGGTCAATCCTACTGCTTCAAAAACTCCTACTGTGTTAAATTTCAGCAAAATAGAGATTTCTCTGCATGGGGCATTGCCATGTTAAATGTGAGTTTTAAAGTTCAATTGTTTCAGTTATCTCAGAAAAACAAACAAAAGAAGGGCAGCTGTTAGTTCTAAAACAGAAAATATATATTAGACACAGCTGTCTCAGTTGCAAGAAATGTTGTTGAACTTTCCAGAAACCTTGATTTTTAAGCAGAAATGTATAAAGAAAGAAGTCAACCAAAAAGGGAATGCTTTGGGAATTTTAAAGGAGCATAAAAGTGCACGCTTGTGGAAGGAACTGTGCTGGTACCTGGTATTCTTGCAGTTGCTATAATCCTCCTCCTAATTGTTTTAACTCTGTGTTGTAGAAGAGAGCATGGGAGAGATGTGTCCAGATGAAGACCAAGGTGGTAAGTAATAAGCATGTATTGCTCTCAACCCCAAAAGTTGTCTGGGCATATTTGTGTTTTTGCATATTTTAATATTTTCATCACCATCCAATGAAGTAAGTCCTCTGCTTATGAAAAGCTTATGCTATTCATCTCTGTAGTTAGTCTGTAAAATGCAAAACTACCCTGGCTTGTGCCTCTTATTTGCAGTGTCTGTCTGAACCCAGCCTATCCTGTGATAGCTTTCCATTTGGAGCAGGAAGCATGTGGATGCAGCCTGCTTGCATCCTTGTCCTGACCAGACCAAGGGAATGCCCATGTTGTTATATGCCCATGTTGTTGTCTATAGCTCCAGGACCTATCTTAGCCATGTGCGCCAGATTCCTACTGACACTGTATTAGATTCTGTCCACAACCCTTGAGGTCCATTATTAATTTCTTGATGTGGTACCCCAAGGCCTGCTAATATAGTGATCTCTGTTTCAGCTCTGCATTTCCAGTCCTACACTCTACTTCTCCTGGCCATCAGAGTTTTGTTGCTAAAGTTCCTTCTGCTTGATGTGCTGGTCACCTGTAGCTTCCTTTTCAGAGGGTAAGACTGTAATAAAGGAAATCTGTAAGGTACAGTTGAACTCTTAAGCATGGCATCTGATCACCAAGAACTTGAAACAGCCCAAGAAGCTGCTAAAGTACTAATAACAGGGTGCATCTACATGAGACACTTATTGTGGAGCTGACTAATTAGCTCCACAGTAAAGCATCAGCATCTACACATGCAGTGCTATTAGGTCAGAAGAAATTTATTAACTTTGCTGTAGGATAGTAGTGCCCAACACAAGTACTATCCTCCAGTGGAGTTATTTGCACCACTGCAACACATGTAGACCTTGACCAGAGCCAGCTGGGCACAAGGGTGCTACAGTGGGGCTGCCTGCTAGCTAGTATTCTCATCTCCCAGACAGCTCCTCTGCAGCACATTGAGCCAGGCTGGAGCAGCCTCAGGCTGGCAGGCTGACTTTCAGGGCCCCCTGTCAGCCGGGGCTGCACCACCGCAGCTCAAGGTGCTGCAGTCCCAGACACGCATGTAAACACTGCATCTGGGAGCAATAAACTCCAGCATGGACTACACCAGAGTTTACTACACTGACTTAATTTCATGTGTAGATGCACCCACAGTGAACAAAATAGTTCAGTCATTTAGGATGCTGCCATTTTGTAGAATATAGCTCTGGGGAGGCAGTTCCCATATAAGTATAGGGGAGGGAGTGGGGAGGCCTAAAGCTATGATTTGGGTTTATGCATCTAGAAAGTTTGCTGCTGAGTGCAAAGTACTGTTTTAACTTTCTTTCATCTTTGTATGTATCTTTCACTGAATTCAAAAGGGAGCTGCACTCTCCAGGGCCTTATCTGCACTGCTATGGAGCCCCTCCTGCTAGTGATGTGCTGATGTAGCTATATTGGCAGAGCCCCCAAGCAAAGAGGTAATGTATGCTGACAGTTTTTTTTCTGTTCAGCAGAACAGCAAACTCAAATAGCAAAAGTTCTCTTCTGCTTGCAGGGGTCTCTAGAAATTATGAGAGTTCACTTTCACATTCAGCCAGTCCCCTTTGAAAGTAAATGTTTTGGGCCCTGTAACCAACAAGTGTTGTTTCCCACTGATTTCCTCTGAAGGCCAGGCCATGCTGTATATGACCTACAAGCTGGGGGTATGAACTGTCTTCTGAATGTTGTGGCTTAACAGGACTTCAACCGCAAGCCACCAGGGGTTTGCTGTGCCTCTGCAGCACCTCCTCTGTTCAGGCAAAACAAAGTTCCACAAAATAGCAGCAGAATGATAAGCTAGTAAAAAGCCTGTCAATGGGAGACAAGGTAGAAGGTGTTCTCTGCCATGTACTATCTTCCTGTGTATCACAGTGTTTCCTGTCCTTGCAGGGAACATGGATCAGCCCAGCTGAAATATCCAAATGGTTCACCTGCTTAGGTGTGGTTCTTCAAAGGGGAGGCAGTCTTGTTTGTCATCATGGAGAGCATGGACTAAGGGCAAGCTTTAGCCCAACAGAGCTGATGACCAGAGAAGGCCACCACCTGGCTAGCAGAAACAATGCTCCTCACACCATTTCTTTATGCCTCATGGCTGAGTTGGAACAAAACCAAAAGGAACCACCAGAGCTGTGCTTGGTTTACTGCCCTCTCCTCCAACTAATCTGCTGTCATCTCTTGGTGGGTACAAAGCAGGCGTTCCCTAACTGGGCTTAGTGCATCACAGAAGACAATGTTTACCCTGGGGTAGTAAATAATACCTGTATTCAAGGCTTGCTGGCCCTAGGAGTTGAGTTGAGCCTAGGCCCTGGCCTCAGCTGTCCTTCTTGGCCAGCAGTGTTGTCTCTTTTTTTTTTTTTTTTTTTTTTTTTTTTTGTTTTTTGACT